CCACCTCTCCGGCACGGTGATGTGCACGCGGAGTTCTATGGGTCCCCTCACTGCCGCCGCCACCACCACTACCACCACGGCCGTCGACTCCACCACAACCTCCACCACCACCTCCACCACAACTACCACCACCACCACCAACACCACCCCATCCACATCAACGGCCCCACAAAAGTGCCAAGTCTCCATATCCTTCGACAGGTAAGTGTCCGTCCTCATTTATTTTGTCCATGTTCCTCGGGTTATATGTGACCCCGTTACCACGGTGCTTCTCTCTTCTGGTCTCTCTTACTTCTTTTTTCTTATGTTTATTGCTCTATTATCTTTCCCTTCCATTCATTCTCTCTTGCTTCATATCCTTGATAAGAATCTCCGATTTTCTTCCACTTTACCCTTCTCATTATCTCTGTTCCTGATTATTATCTGTTCCTCACCCTCTTCCCTCTTTCCGATATCTCTTTCTTATGCCCCGCGTAACTATCTAGTTTGCATCTCATCGCCGTCTCTTAGGGGTAACCTGGCGTCCGATAAGGGAGGAGGAGTGGAGGGAGAACACCTCAGTAGTGGGTGTCTCGCGGCTGTCACTGGTGTTAAATGCGACGGCTGCTGAGACTGTGTAAGGCCTCGGCTGGCTGTGCTGTGACAGGGTTATGCGACGGATACCAGTGCTGTTACAAGAGAGTGTGATGATGTCTACCTGTTGAGGCTGTGGCGAGCTAGCAAGCTGGTGAAGGAGTATGACGGGCGGGGTGGGTAATGAGTGTGACGGGAGTTTCCTGGTACAGCAGGTGCCGGTGGGGGCGTCACAGCGGAACTGTCGCCCATCGTAAGTGTCCGGGAGAAAAACCTCGCCTCTCTGACGCTTTTTAGACGCAGGGGAGACATGGGCTCCCAGGGTGCCTTCTAAATCCTCGCCTCCACCACATCTTCACGTTCCTTGCTAATTCTTCCTCTTTGGTGGCTCTCTCCTGCTTGTTGTGGTGTCGACCCGGTTTTTGTGGTGTCGACCTGGTTGTTGTGGTGTCGATCTGGTGGTTGTGGTGTCGATCTGGTGGTTGTGGTGTCGACCCGGTTGTGGTGTCGAACTGGCGGTTGTGAATGATTTCTTTTGGTTGGCATTCTTATGTGCGTCAACCAGTTTTACATCTTGGGTAAAAGCTTTCACCACTATACATCTCAGTCTTGTAGTGGCGTCTTCAAAGGTGCCGAATATTACAAAGAAAATAAGAAATAAAAGAATATCGTATATACTTTAATAATTTCTAGGGAAGGATTTTGCAACAATTGAATTTCTCCTTTCCGTCTCTATTATATATCTCCATTATCCTTCATTATTCCTCATCTCTGTGTGTAATATTTACCCTGTCTCTCTGTTACTCTCCCCTTCATCATGAATCATGTTGTCTTTCCTCTTTCTCTCTCTCTCTTTCCTCTTATTCACTTCTTTATACTTCTGTTTCCTCCTTTAGTCCCCTTCTAATATTCTCTCTCTCTCTCTCTCTCTCTCTCTCTCTCTCTCTCTCTCTCTCTTTTTCTTCTTCTTCTTCTTCTACTTCTTTTCTCCCTTCTTCCCCTTCCTCCTTTTTACCTTTCCTCCTACTCTTCAGCTTCACTTCATCTCCCTTCCTTCTTAGCTCTCCTTCCTTCCCGCCTTTCCTAGCTCTCCCTCTTTCCCTCCTCGTATCATAGGCCTCTTCCCCTAGACGCCAGCCACGTCCGAGCTACTAAATATTTCGTACAGGAAGGTAGGCCAGGAAGCTACCAAGAAGGGGGGGCACACACACACACACACACACACACACACACACACACACACACACACAGAGCCTCATGAATACACTGCGACACGGGGTGTCAGCAGCCCTTCCAGCGAATTACAAAAGTCACTCTAGCTGCCGCCCCCCCGCCTCTCCTCTCTCCCTTATAACCTGCTCCCTTCCTCTCCCTTCCCGCCTCCTATAACCCTCCCCTTCCTTTCCCTCTCCCTCTCCCCTCCCTCCCCTACAGCTTTCTCCCTTTCTCCCATAGTCAGAACTTAAGGCATACATCTACACACAGTATATATATATATATATATATACATATATATATATATATATATATATATATATATATATATATATATATATATATATATATATATATATATATATATATATATATATATATTTATCTCTTGGTTTCTCCTGTCTCCCATCTCATCCCCATGTCGTGATTCTCCCTCCCCTTTCTCCCCTCTTCATCCCCTTCCTCTCTCTCACTCCCTCCCTTAAGTGTGTCTTTCTCTTTCCTTCAAATCTCTCTCTCTCTCTCTCTCTCTCTCTCTCTCTCTCTCTCTCTCTCTCTCCCTATATTCATTTTTATATTTACATATTAATTTTTCATTTACATTTACACACTTTTATTTACAATTGAAATGCTAATTTAATATTCTCTGACTACATTCTTCATTATTATGTGAATTTACGCTTTCATTTATAAATATAGCTTTTTATTTACACACTTTACTTCCGAATAGATTTTTCATTTACATGTGGTTTTCATTTACAGTACTTTGAATTTACACTTTAATTTACGTATTAATTTTCACTTACATTTACTCATTTTATATAAACTTGCACTTTTTTTTTCCATATTAATTTGTCTTTTACATTTACACCTTCACTTACATAATAAGCCTTTCATTTACATGTTATATGATTTATCAGTCTTGTATCAATTACACTGAAACATATCTCTTCATTTTTCGCTTTGTACACTCATCATTTATATTATTAACATGACATTTACGCACCATCATGTACACATAAATTTACACACTTTCACGGACATAATAAACCTTCCATTTACATTTATTTACATTGTACAGCATTTCTCTTTTTTTTCTTTTATAGTTTGTAACATTTCGCTTAATTTTTCGTCTTAACTTTCCCCGTGAGTTTTTTATGCCTGTGTTTTATGAAGGTCAGGTTAGGTTAGTATGCTAATTTCTCTCGCTGTCTTCATCATCCACTCAGTCCTGGTTGTAATTTTCCTCGTCTGTGTCTCTGAAAAGGTTTAATCACACTTTGTAATTTAGTTTTGCCTTGAGAGTGCCACTTAGGGTAGACCTGTTCATGAGGTGTAAGTGCCAGTTAAGAGGTTCCATTTCATGAAAAGTCTTTTGGTAAGGTGATGGTTTATGAGTTAAGAGTGCCAATAAAGGTGCCAGTTAACGAGATAAGAGCTCCACTTAATGAGCTAAGAGTGCCAGTTAAGGGGTAATTTTATAACCCAAGAGTGCCAGTTAAGGGACTGTTTATGAGCTCAGGGTGCCGATTAAAGAGAAATTAAAGAGCATGAAAGGGTCAGAGTGCCAGGTTAAGGTACCCAAGTGCCAATTAAAGAGACCTGTTCAATGTACCAATTTAGGGATTCAAAGTTAATGGGTTGAGATTGCCAATTAAGTGACTATTTCATGTATTCAAAATTGACATGATAATGTTTTTTTAAGCCTGGATGTATATAAAAAATTACACTATAGACTTAGAAAATACAAGTTAAATTATGTATTGTATTATAACTACATCGTTGGGCTCATATATATACATCATAAGGTTGTATGTTTTAATATAGCCAAGATCATACAGTGTTATATGGATCAGAATTATATAATATAGATAAGTTTACACGTTATATGGAGGAGAGTGGTAAAACTATCCTGTATATGTTAGAGCGCATTATGAGTGAGACGAGTGTGATATATATGACTTGACGTAAGAGAATTGTAAATATAATAGGGAGATAAAACACCGGATGTGTATTGTGTTTTGTATGGTAAATAGGGAGGGGTCCTGAATCAACGACAGGTAGTGGTGTGTGTGTGTGTCTCTGTCACACACACACACAACCTTGATAAAGTCAGCAGCTGTCCATGCCTCCCCTCCTCCCCCCCCCTTCCCTCTTCCTTCTCCCCCTCTTCCTTCCCTCCTTCCCCTTTCCCTCTTCCTCTTTCCTCTCCCCCCATTTTCCCTCCCTCTCCCTTTTTGCATCACAATGGTAAACCCGACTTCATACGGAATAAGACCCCCCCCCCAGGTCACCCACAGCAGCGGATGATAACAGTGACATAACCATCCCAGAGGAGTGATAACCACCACCATGCTTATTCAGGTCAGGGAAGATCAAATTACGGGTGTACAGAGACGGATCACTTTAAGGAGGGGACCAGGGTAGGTAAGGGGAGGGTATAGGAACTGGTAGGAATAAATTACCTTCGTCGTAGGGAGCAATTTGGTGGAGGTTTGTTGATGTCCTGGGGAATGGTTGGCTGTAAATACGTCAGTCAGGGCAGAGCTTATTGGATGACACTGCCACCGGGAGTCTGGCATCATGACGTCTATAGTGTTACTGTGGCTGAGATTTTCGGTGTATATAGTGTCACTGTTGGAGAGAGTTTGTTGTATCATGCCACTGTTGGAGATGCTTTGGGCCATTGTTGGAGATTATGATGTACGTATATATTGCCACCACTGGAGAAATTTTGGTGCATTCATATCACTCGTACAAAAGTTTGGAGATAGCTGGAGGAGAGTGGCAAAATGTGTGTGAGGACTGATTGTGCGACAGGTGCGGTAGCCCGGGTGTGAGAGTCCTGGTGGAGGAGGACGGAAGAGTTGCGGACGTGGCAGTAGTGTGTCTCGAAGAAGTGGTCCTTCACCCATTCTCCACACCTTAATAATGCACCTCACCAGTCTACTGTACCGCTCACTGCCATTGTCCCTCCTGTTGTGGTGGTGGTGAGGACTGATGTGGTTGATAAGGACTGATGTGGTTGATAAGGACTGGTGTGGTGGTGAGGACTGGTGTGGCTGATAAAGACTGGTGTGGTGGTGATGGCCGCTGTGATTGTTTGGCTTGTGGGGGTTCAGGGTTTAGAGGAAGAGAGGTAGTGGACGAGGGCTCAAGGATAGAGGAAGAACGATAGTGAATGAGGGCTTGTGGGTAGAGGAATAGGGCCAGTGAGTGAAGGTTCAAGGCCAGGGGAGGAAAGGTAATGGATGAGAGCTGTGGGATAGGAGAAGAGAGGGAGTGAGAACCCCAGGGAGGCAGAAGGGACTGCTCAAGGTGGAGGGAGGTGATGGGACGCTGTCTATAGGCGTAGGAGAACTGCGACTGAGATTTTACACAAGGCGTCAGAGAATAATTGATAGAGCTGTACT